CTTGTAGTATTTTGCTCAAAATGCTTTGCAGTGCTGGTTTTCTGGCTGCGAATTCTTTTAGCTTTTGTTTATCATGAAAGATTTTAATTTCATTGTCAAATCTGAAGCTTAATTTTGCTGGATACAGTATTCTTGTTTGGAATCCATTATTTTTCAGCGTTTGAAATACATTGTTCCAGGATCTTCTCGCTTTCAAAGTCTGTGATGAAAATTCAGTTGTTAACCTAATTGGTTTACCCCTGAATGTAATCTGCCTCCTTTCTCTCGTAGCTTTTAATATTCTCTCCTTGTTCTGTATGTTGGCTATCTTCATAATTATATGTCTTGGAGTTGGTCTATTATAGTTTTGAATGTTTGGGGTCCTGTAGGCTTCCAGGATTTGGCAATCCATTCCATCTTTCATCTCTGGGAAGTTTTCTAGAATTATTTCATTTAATATGTTGTCCATTCCTTTGGTTTGAATCTCTATGCCTTCTTCTAACCCGATGACTCTCAAATTTAGTTTTTTTATGACATCCCATATCTCTTGAATAGATTGCTCGTGGGATTTAAGCATCTTTTCTGTGTTGACTATATTCTTTTCATGTTGATAAACTTTGTCTTCATTATCTGATATTCTGACTTCTACTTGATCTAGTCTATTTGTAATATTCTCGTTTGAGTTTTTAATTTGGTTTATAGTTTCCTGCATTTCTAGGATTACTGTTTGATTTTTTTTAAGATCTCTATCTCCTGGTAAAGCTCGTTCTTTGCCATTTGAATTTGTTTAATTCATTTTCAAAATATACTTTTATTGCTTGGACTTGCTGTCTCATGTCTTCTTTAATATTCCTTTCCATCTCAGTTAGGTATGCCTTGAGCTCTTTCCCTATCCATGTTTCTGATGCTTCTAGGTCCTCCTGTAGATTTAAGTTGTCCTGCATTGTTTGTACTCCTTTTTTCCCTTGTTTTTCATGATGTTCACGTTACTTTCCAGCTCTATTTGATTGCTGTGTTTCTGCTCTCTTCTATAGATTTGTTTTGGTTTTGTATATCTCTGTTGTCTCTCCTTTGTGTTGGTGGACTATGCCTGCTTAAGTGGATTCCGCTGGGAAGGAATTCCGAAGGCCGAGCTCCAGTGACGTCACCTCTCTGCTATGGCGGGCCCCAGGCTCCTTGCCGGGGTGTCCGAATGGGGGGGTGGGACTGGACTGTCTCTGGTTGGTTTCAGCTCCCGCTCGCCGGCGGGTGTGCAGTCTCCAGCCACCCGGTCGAAGGGGCAATGGGCCGGCTGTCGCTGGTGGGCGGGCGGTCTCCAGCCGCCCAGTCACGCGGGCAGCGGGCAGGCTGTCACCGGCGGGCAGGCGGTCTCCAGCCGCCCAGTCACGAGGGCCTGGCCTCTAGTCCCCTGGTTTCTCCTGCTAGTCCTGGTTTCTCCTGCTAGACCAGATTTCCCCTGAGTGATGCCTCTCGGCAGTTCAAACTGTACTCTGGGCCTGCCGTTTGTTGGGTATGGAGGGTGGCTATTGGGAACCCCGGCACTCTATTGTTTTGATTTTTTCCGCTTGCCCCTCCCCCAGTGCTGCCAATACAGGTTTCGCTTTCGCCACTGATGGGAGGGGGAGTTGAAGGTCAGGTGTCTCTAGTTTTCCTCACGTCTTTATGTAGGCTTGCTCTGATAATCCCTCCCCCGGAAAGCCTAGGAGAGATTTTATGCGAATTCCCTGCTGTATGGGAGCTGAGCTGAGTAACACACACCTGTTTTATTGTTGCAATCTGTCGGAGAGTGGCGGTGGTTACTTCAGCTCTCCAAGATGGTGGCCGCTGGTTTCCTTGGTGGAGTTTCTGTTGTGGGGGATAGAACTGTACCGCTTCCTTCCCTGTCTGAAATCCCGAACTTAGCCTGGGGCTCAGTGAGGGCTCAGCCGGCAGGATTCCACAGAATCCGCAGCAACGTTTCTCCCTGCTTGCTGGTCGCTTCTCGGCGGCGCCCCGCCGTCTGTAGCCGTGGGGTGGGCCGTGCGGTTCAGTCAGCCCAGATCTCCGGTCGCACAGTTGGCTCGTGTTTGAGACTGAATTACCGGACCTCGGTGCTGGAAATCCTTCCTCTAGGTTTCGGTGCACCCCCATTTTGCTGTAACTTCCTAACAAGATAGTTTTTTGTCGTTCTAACTCATTATTCACCTGCGCAGTGGCGGTACACGGGGTGTGATGCACTCTATTCACGGCCATCTTGGAGTCCCCCAAGTTTGTGATTTATAGTTTGGGATTTATATTTTCACTTTTTATTTTTACCTTCATTTTATTTATTTATTTTTACATGGTGCTAAGGATTGAACCCAGTGCCTCACAGGTGCAAGGAAAGAGCTCTACCACTGAGCCCCAGCCACAGCCCTATATTTTCACTTTCTTTTTTTTTTTTTTAACTCTTTTTAAAAAATATTTATTTTTTAGGTGTAGGAGGACACAACTCAATGCCTTTATTTTTATGTGGTGCTGAGAATCGAACCCAGGTCCTGCTGTGCTAGGTGAGCGCTCTACTGCTGAGCCACAAACCCAGCCCTATATTTTCACTTTCTAATAGTGTCTTTAGGAAGGAAAAGTTCTTAATATTGACAAAATTCAGTTAATCCATATTTTTAAAATATATGGATTTTGGTTCTGGTGTTTTTAGTTAATCGCAAAGATTTTCTCTTATGTGTCTTCTAGAAGATAATTTTAGGTTTCAAATTTATGTCTAGGATCCATTTTGTGTTTATTTTATAAATTTATAAGTGAAGTTGTCTTATCTTTATTTTATTTTGTTAAATAGATAACTGAATATTCTCATGCTGTTTATTAAGAAGATTATTTTTCTTCAATGAGTTGTCTTTGACCTTTGTCAAAAATCAGTTGGTCAAATATGTATAAATGAATATATACCTGGATTCTCTATTCTCTTCCATTGATATATTTGCTTATTTTTAAGCTAATATTATTCTGTCTATTGTAGCTTACAGTAAACTTTGAATTCATGTAGTATAAATTCTTCAGCTTTATTTTTCCAAAATCATTCCAAATATATCTGAATTTCCACTTAAATTTTAGAGTAAGCCTGTTAATTTATTTAAAAAAATAGGATTTTTGTTGCTTGGGATTGTGTTGCATTTTCAGATTTGTTTAGAAAGAATTGATATCTTAACAATATTAAATTTTCTCATCTACCAACATGGCATGTGTCTCCATTTATTTAGGTTTCCTTTGATTCCCTTAGCAATGTTTTACAATATTCAGCATATCAGTCTTAATATATTTTTGTCAGATTTAACCTGAAATGTTTTATATTTTTGATGCTATTTTTTAGTATTATAAATTTAAAATTTTAATTTTATATAGTTTATTGTTAATGCATAGAAACATACTTGATCTTCATATGGTGATCCTACATTCTACAATATTGCTATATTTGCTTCTTGGTTTTAGTAGATTTTTTTCTTTTGATGAATTACATTGTATTTTCTAATAGCCAGTAATTTTGTTTATGCATAAAAAGAGTTTTACATCTTCCTTCCAAATCTGGGTGCCTTTTATTTCTTTTTCTTGCCTGGTTACATTGGCACAGTTCTTAAACAGAATTTGTTGAGAGTAGACACCTTTATCTTATTCCTGATCTTAGGGGGAAGACATTTAGTCATTTACTATTTGGTTTGATGTTAGCTCTTGGTGTTTTAGCAAATGTTCTTTATCAGGTTGAGAAAGTTCCCTTTATCCCTTACTGAGATTTTTTATCAGGAATTGATATATCGTTTTTCTGTATTTATTGAGATGACCATATCATTTTTGTCACAAACTTTTGATGTCTGTTCATGAAAGATATTGGTTTGTCCTTTTCTCTTTCTGTAACGTCTGTGACTAGCTTTGGTGTCAGAGTGATAGTGGTTTCTAGAATGAGTCCAGAAGTAATTGCTCCTCTTCTGTTTCCTGGAGGAGTGTATCAGTTTGGTATAATTTCTTCTTTAAACATCTAGCAGAATTCTCCTGAAGGCATCTGGTCCTGGAGTTTTCTTTGTGGGAAAGGTTTTTAGCCACAAATTCAGTTTTTTAGTATATACAGAGCTATTTGGACTATTTATATCCTCTTGAAGACTTCACAGCTTGTGCTTCTAAATAAATTTGCACATTTGATTTATTCTTTGAATTTACTGGAATGAAGTTTTTCATAATATTAACATATATATATTTTTTAAATATTTATTTTTTGTAGTTGTAGTTGAACACAATAACATTTTATTTATTTATATGTGGTGCTGAGGATCGAATCCAGGGCCTTGCACGTGCAAGGCGAGCGCTCTACCGCTGACATAACCCCAGCCCCAACATATATTTTTACTATCTATAGGATCTGTAGTGATGTCACCTCATTCCTAATATTGCTATTTGTGGTTTTTTTTTCTTTTTTCCTGGTCAGCTATATTAGTGATTTATGCATCTTATTTATCTTTTCAAAGAAATATTTTTCTATTTCATGATTTTTCAATCTGATCTTTATTATTTTTTTTTCTGCTTAGTTGGGGTTCCTCCTGTTCTTCTTTTCCTAACTTCTTGAAGGGGCAGCTTAGGACATAAATTCGAGAACTTTCTTCTTTCCTAATGTAGTATATATTACTATAAATTTCCCACAACTTTTTGTTTGTTTTCATTTTAATTCAGTTAAAAATACTTTCTAGTTTCTCTTTTGGTTTCTTCTTTGGTATATATATATATATATATATATATATATATATATATATATATATATCATACAGAAGCAGAAAAGATCAGTAAGCTATTGTCATAAAAATAAATGCTGGACTTGTTAAGAGACAGACACTCTGATATTCTCCAAATGATAAATAATGATAAATAAGCTCAGATATTGTTTAACACTTGATATTCCAAAGAGAAAAAAATATATACTTCCAATTATTCCCTCTGTTTTCTTATAGAGTAATTGCTAAAATAAAGGAATACAGGAAACAAGCCTTTTGCCAATGGTTACTTACAAAAATATAGAGCGGATCATATTCTGGGGACATGGATAAGGCCTCAGGTGGTTTCATAGTCAAGATTGAGGACTTTCCAGAGACCTGAGGTGTGGAGTCCTGTTTTGGAAGGATAACGATGGTGGTAACTTCATCCTAAACACACGAGGAACAAGAATGGCCAGTTAGTCTTGCTGCTAAGACAAGAAGGAAAAGTGGGAGGAATTCTTGGAGGTGGGGACAGGTTACCTCAGCTCCTTGCTTCAGGGGTCGAGCGAGCTTTTGGGGTCTGTAACTTGTTGAAGACATGTGGACTGAGAATGGCTGATATCCCTTAATTTTGTACAGTTGAGGAACCTGAGGGTGAAAGAAGACAACTGAGTGAATATCCTTAAAAGAACCATTTGGTAGGATCTGCTTCTCAACCGCAGCTGTCCGTGGTGAGGGTGAACCAGGCCTCCCTGTAGCCATCCATTATGACAACTGTCAGTTCAGACCAGCACTGGAGAGGTGTCAGGGCCCTGTTCTAGCTCACATCTGTGTCCACGGTTACTTTCTCATACCTCAGGACTTAACTACAGAAACACATCAAAATATCTTCATTTTCAAAAACACAAGTGGTCATATGCCTCAAGAAAAGCTGCCTAATTTGTGTCCAGTTCATCTTGTGGTTCTTTTTTTATTTTGTGGGGGACACTAGGGATTAAACTCAGGGGTGCTCTACCACTGAGCTACATCCCCAGTGCTCCCCTCCCCTTTAAATTTTGAGACAGGGTCTTGCTGAGGCTGACCTTGAATTTTCAATTCTCCTGCCTCAGCCTCCTGAATCTCTGGGATTCCAGGTATGGGCCACCGCGGCAGCTGCATCCTGTGTTTTGTCTTGAAGTTTCTAATAGATGTAGCTGAGGGAATTCACAGGGGAGGGTATAACCCCACAGAATAAAGACCCTGGTTTCTGTAGCCACATTAGGGAAAAAGAATCTCCAACATTCTATTAAATAAGAGCAGAAAAATACTCAGTATAATCTAAAATAGACCAAAACTAATAAAATAATACAGTTCAAGAATACTTTGTTCACTCCACATAAAACACTGAAATAATTATGTGACAGATCTGACCTGCAAGTTGAAGAAGGAATAGCTGTGCTTGATTTGAACATCTGAAGGCTTGATTGGGACTAGTCCAAGGCCGTCAGGAGCCTAAAATGGGAAAATAATGGGGGAAGAAAGGAAAATCAACTCCAAGCAAAAGCAGGTAGGCTTCTATTTCCATCACAGTTTGAAATGTTAAATGAAGAGATCTACTCTCAAAGCAGCCTTTCTCAGGACCACAGTTGCCACTTGATCTCTGGGACACAGGGTGGCCCTGCCATCCCCTCTTTATGTATCTTAGAGTATGTCAGTCTTCTTCTCCTCATGGAATGTCATGGAGGCTGCGACGGATCCCCTCGAGCCCCAGCTGTTAGAGTCCTGCTAAGAGTCAGGGTCAGCTCTCCTCATGTTTTGCCTTGATTCTGGGTGACAGCACCTTCCCTGGCAACCTGTCATTGGAGGCAGGGTCAAGGTCCTCTCACCCTAGGCCAGTTCCAGAGTTCCTCACAGCCTTAGCTGAGGCCTTTGCTAAAATCGATGGCAGCCCTACTTCTCCGTCCAGTCCTGTTCCCTGTGCTGGCCTTTCACAGAGGCTGGTTCCCAGAGTACTTCCTGCCTGCTCATGTGCACAGAGAACCTGGAACAGGGCCTGGCAGACTACAGGAATTCCACAAATACCATCCTTTACCTAGGCTGAGGCACCACCATTCAATTAATATGATGCAATGTTAATGTGACATTTCCCAATTTCAAAGATGCTTCAAGTACAAAAAAGAATTGATGAGGGGCTGGGACTGTGGCTCAGTGGTAGGGCGCTTGCCTGGCACATGTGAGACACTGGGTTCAATCCTCAGTACCACATTAAAAAAAAATTAATAAATAAGATAAAGCTATTATGTCCATCTATAACTAAAAAAAGAATCGATAAAATCCTGTATTTGTGGAATAAATGAATAAATTCTTGTATAGATAGAAATGCTGAGCCCTCCATTTTTTAAAGTATTTACTTTTTAGTTGTAGTTGGACCCAACACCTTTATTTCACTTGTTTATTTTTTATGTGGTGCTGAGGATCGAACCCAGGGTCTCGCATGTGCGAGTCGAGCGCTCTACCGCTGAGCCACAACCCCGGCCCCCTCCATTTTTTTTTAATCAATCCTGAACAGCAGAGAAGTCCTAGCAGCACTAACTAAATAACAAAAGAAATATGCAAGCTGTGACCTATTCAAAAAAATGAGGTGGGCTCCATGGCACCATGATGACTTCTCTTCACCCCAGCACTCTTTTGCTCCATTAGTCATTGAGCGTCAGATAATTATTAGGGTGGGAACATCACAGATTCGTTTTTAATGAATTAAGCAGCAGAATCTGTTAAATCATTTAATTATCAAACTCAGAAAACATGGAATTTCTAAATTGCACCCAGTAATTCTTGGGGAAATTAACCTGAAATATTTGGGGATACGAATGTCGGGTTTATTCTTTAAAATTAAAAAGATCATTCTGCACAAGCACTTGCAATAAGGGTCTCAGCACATGCTCTGTTGCTGTGAATCTGAGCGACATTTTATGGCTGGTTATGTGATCTTGTGCCTCCATTTCCCCATCTGTGAAATGAATAAACCCACCACATAGATTCATTGAAGATCAAATGAAGTCACACCTGAAACACTTAGGTGCAATTTAAGAGTTAATTAATGATTATTTTCATTATAATGCATTATTGTGCCTGTAAAGGGAGGAGAATGGGCTGTCACACCCTACAAGAGGAGGGACAGAGAGAGGTGAAATTCTGAGTCTGATGTGTTAGCTTGACAGATTCTGGGACAAGAATCTTCTTGACTAGGTTGGGCCCAGACTAGGGGCTGCTGTTCTCTTAGCCTCTTATTTATTGTGCGTCAGAAGGTCCAGCTGAGCAGAGCCTGCCTCCCCGGGCCAGGTGGTCCTCTCTGTCCTTATCTGCCCATCTGCTCTTAGGCCTGATTCCAGGGCAGCTGGAATCAGTGTCCATGCCGGGTTCCAGCCTGGGTTACCAGGGAGCTCTGCACAGGCATCCCGGGTGTATCAGGTGTACCAGGAGTTCCAGTCAGGGCAGGTAGCTAGATGGCCTCCAGTGTCCCACTGGTCATAATTTCCTGGGCACAGGTCTCCCCTGGAGGCCTTCTGAGGAGACAAAGGGGGTAAGGCTGGGCTTTACAATAATCTGCCCTACCACCATGAGATCATGCCTGCCCCCACCCAACAGCCTAATGGTACCCACCAGCTCCTTGTCACCCTGAGGAGGGCTGTAGGATGGAAAGGCAAAGGGCAGCACGTTGTTGGGTGACACCTTGAACCGGCAACTGTGATCATCCTGAGTGGATCGTGGAAGAAGGTTTCTGGAATGCTTGTCTAGGGGGAAATCAAAACAGTACTTTACTATCCTTAAGGTATTTTTTTTTGAGTGAAACTAGCATTTTTAGTTGCATATTTACCACATACTATTTCAAAAAGGATATTTATGCTTCTATGTACGCATACATAATATCTATTTCCATTGTTAGTTCCCCTCTATTCTTTACTGAAACCCCTTCTTTAATTTTTAAAATTTTTATTTATTTTTTGCTTCAAAAAACTATAATCCTTTAAAAATATTTTATGAATAAACATTAATTATATATGCTAATGGGGTTCAGTGTGTTTTTTTTTTAAAAGAGAGAGAAGAGAGAGATACAGAATTTTTTAATATTTATTTTTCAGTTTTCGGTGGACACAACATCTTTATTCTTATGTGGTGCTGAGGATGGAACCCAGTGCCCCGCGCATGCCAGGCGAGCGCGCTACCGCTTGAGCCACATCCCCAGCTCCACGTGTGTGATATTTTTATCTATGCATATAGCATGCACTTATGAAACCTGACCTTCCCTTTTTCTCTCTCTCCTCCCCACACATTCCCAATCCTGAGAAATCACTGTTCTACTTTCAGGTCTGCCCCCCAAAACTTTTGTTTTTGTTTTTGTTTCGTACCAGGAATTGAACTCAGGGGCACTCAACCACTGAGCCACATCTCCAGTCCTATTTTGTATTTTATTTAGAGACAGGGTCTCACTGAGTTGCTTAACAGCTTCACTTTTGCTGAGGCTGGATTTGAACTCAAGATCCTCCTGCCTTGGCCTCCCGAGCTGCTAGGATTACAGGTTTGTGCTACCGTGCCCAGCAAAAAACTCTTAATACTTGATTAAAATATTTCTGATGAATTCAACAAAGAAAAAGATTAAAGAAAAACATTTTTATAGATGTCCATACATGATTTCTGGGTAAATTCCATTTTTTCTTCATTAAAAAAGAGTTTATTAGAAACTTCAATATCAGAAATAAAATAATGTAGGAAGTAGAAAAGAATAGATAAAATGCTACAAAATGATTTGGGAAAGTAAATATACAACTATCTTGGTGGAGAGGCTGGAGTATGTGGGGCTCTGGCCAGGAAGGGAGGAAGGCCTAGGAGGGGCAGGGCCCGCCTGTGAACCTGCGTATGAGCTGTTATGGTTTGGATGTGAGGTGTCCCCATCAAAGCTCCTGTGAATGCAGGAATATTCAGAAGCAAAATAATTAGATTATGAGAACTGTGACCTGATCAGTCCATTCCAGTTTCAATGTGCTGCCTGGATGGTGACTGTAGGCAGGTGGGGCATGGCTGGAGGAAATGTGACAACTGAATCAAGACATTAGAGGGACATGAGGAAGGGACCACCTGCCAGGGGACAGAGGCAGACTCCAGAGTCTAGAAGAGGCAAGGAAGTGGATTCTCCATGAAGCCTCCAGAAGGAACCAGCTTTTGACAACTGGATTTTAGATGTCTGCAGAACTATAACATAATAGATCTGTGTTGTTTGAAGCCATTACACTTGTGATGGTTTGTTAACAGCAGCAATATGAAACTAATACATGTGATTTATGAAAAAATATATTTTTGCCATAGCTAATTTCATGATAAAGCAGTCTTGAGCTCCCAGGGGTCTTGGTCTCAGCATTGCTATCCTTCACACCATACCTTACCTTGTGCTATTGACTGTCTTGCCTGCGTGAGCCTTTTCATTATACTTTCTCTGTCCATTTCACGAAAAGCAACTAGCATATTGAGTAACCGCCGCTCAAACATGATCTTGAATTGGAAAGAAATCTCAGATTATTAATTGATAATACCATATCTGATAGTCAATGTCATTCACTTTTCCCAATCACAATTAAGGGCACAATTTACAGGGAGAGTGGCAAGCTTCCCCGGACTGAGGCCACAGGGACTTCATGGCCTAGTGAATAAGAACGAGCCTGGAAACTAAGAAAGGTATCAGGTTGTCATCTGGTCTTGTCCCACCCCGTTTATGAGTCCTGAGTCTACATTCTTTCTTCTGGATGTATCTGAGGAGCAATGCTACCACAGTGGTGTTTGCAGAAGCAGAGGACAAACTTACATAGGCGATTCTGTAGCCACAGGGTTGGGGACATGGACAGTGGTCTACCTGCACCTACATGCCATGTCTACACCACCAAGCTTTGCATCCAGAGTGGTGCTGCTGCAGGGGAGTGTCCCCCATGCATGGAGGGGTGGCAGAAGGGGTCATTCATTCCACCAGAAGCACTCCTTTCTCTTTTCTCAAGAACTCTTTCATTTACCAAATAGAAAGTGGCTGCTTTGTGCCTGGCTCTGTGCAAGTCCCTGCAGAGACGGGGAGGAGCAGAGCCGTGTTGTGCCCTGCATGGGGCTGCCGTTCTGGAGGGGTGTGTGTGGATGACAGTAAAGCCCTAACTGAACACGCACAATGAACACCACGTGAAGAAGGAGGGTGGTCGGGAGAGGCCATGACTGAAGGGGCCGCAGGCGAAGGCCTGGCCACTGATGCAAGGAGAGCGAGAAGGCTCCTCTGGAGAAGAGAGGCTTGACGGAAGCCTTGAGGTTCGAGAACAAGACGGTGATGGGAAGATCCTGGAGAGACTTCTGAGCGAAGGAACCGGTCAGTCTGAAGATCCTGATGCAGGAGCTGAGCTTAGAGGACAGAGAAGATTCCAGTGTGCTCTTGGAGTCTTGATTTTAAAAAATGTGCACTGTGTGCTAACAGGGACGGGAGCTCTTGGAAGGCCTGAGCTGGGGAGGGCTGTGGTCATCTCTAAGCTTTGAAGCTCTGCCTCTGGCTGTGTTGGGGAGACCTGTGCTGGTCCAGGTGAGAGGAGTTGGGCTGGGGCCAGCACTAAGGAGAGGGTAAGAAGTCACTCGACTGGAGGGCACCCTGGCTCAGGGACCTGAGAGCGAGCCAGCACTGCAAACACTCCAGCTGCGGGGCTCCCTGCAGAGGGGCTGAGGTTCAGGGGGCACCAGCCTCTTGCTGGTGTGTGGCACTGTCAACAGCTGTGCCTTCCTCCCCGTGAGCGCAGCCTCCTGCTGCCTCTTTTTACCACTTTCTCCCCTTCCCTGAGCCTCCTGTGGCCACCTCTGTGCATACACAGAACAGGAACAGCAGGGACTCAGGTTCTTTGGGGCTTCAGAGGCTGGTGAGAAGGTCGCCAATGCAGGGAGCATGACCAGTCCAGGCTGAGTCCTGCCTGAAGGACGGCCCGCAGTGGGAACTTCAGGAGCCCCTTAGACGTGTTCACTCATTTCGTCTTCACAGTAACCCCACGGGACAGGTCTTAGTGTCATCCTCAGAGTTCAGATGAGGAAACTGAGACACAGAGGTCATGTCGCTTATCCAAGATCAGAAAGCTCACAAAGTAGCACCAAGAATTAAGTGCAGGCAACCAAGCCCCAGAGCCTGGGTGTGTGGTTTGGGTTTTGAATGACCCCCACCCCAAGGCCTATATGCTAATGGCCTCAGCCTGGGGCACTGTGGGAGGTGGTGGAACTGTTAGGAGGTGGGGCCTCGTGTAAGGAAGTAGGTGATGGGGGTGTAGCATTCAGGGGGATATTGGGACTCTGGCCCCTTCTTTTCTCCCAGTTGTCCCAAGATCAGCAGCTCTGCCATGATGTTCTGCCTCAATACAGGCCCAAAGACCTCCATTGAATCAATCCGCCGTGGACTAAAATCTCTGAAATTCTAAGCCAAAATAAACCTTTCCTCTTTATAAGTTGATTATCTCAGGTGTTTTATCACAGCAACAGAAAGTCAACTTACACACCAATTTTTAATCGCTGCTCTCCCTTGCTTGAGGTGTGAGTCTGTCCCATGGGGAAGCCATGCTTCAAGGGCAGGGACAAGACTCTCCAGGGAGCATAGGAAGCAAAGAGCAGCAATGAGAGCTTTAAGTGTCGAAGCTTATAAAGATCAGGTAGACCTGGGCTGGCCCAAGAGACCGGTGTGCACCTGAGGAGTGCAGACGGGGAGGCATAGAAACATGGGTTCCTAGCTGGGGATAAGCACGGTGTCTCTGGAAGAAGATGAGGATGGTGACAAGGAGAAAGACAGTGGGGGACTGCAGAGGGCCGGCTGCAGTCAGATCAGTGGGCCACCCTACGCCCTTTATTGGCATTGGGGGTCAGAAGTCTTCATTATACCCTCCGGCAGGAAACCACTAGAGGCCAGAGCTATGCTGGGGGGAAGATCAGCGTGAATGAGGGTTAATCCACAGTAAGGAGATGACACCTTTGAAGGGGAAGCCATAGCCTGATGTCAGAGACAAGATCCTACTGGAATTTTCAGTTGTTCTCTCTGAATAGGACCAAAACCCCATTGTTTTACGTGTATTGACCCAGCGATTCCACTCCTAGATATGTATAACCAAGAGAATTGAAAACGTGTGTCCACTAACTTCTGCACAAATATTTATAGCAGCATTGTTGGCAGTACCCCAAAGGTGAAAACAACTGGATGCCTGTCAATGGATGAATAGGTAAAATGTGGCCTATCCAAAAACTGGAATATTATACAGCCATGAAAAGGAATGCAATACTGATACCAGCTGCAACACCAGTGAACTTGAAAACAGGTTAAGTGAAAGAAACCAGATTCAAAAGGTACATATTATATGATTCCAAATAAGTAAAAATGTCCAGAAATGGCAAATCCATAAGAATGGAGAGTAGATTGGTGGTTGCTAGGGGCTGGAGGAAGGAGAGAATGGGGAGCGACTGGTAATGGGTACTGAATTCCTTTCTAGGAAATCAGACAGTGATGATGGCTTCCGGATTCTGAATATACTAAAAACCAACTCAGGTAGATATGTTGCAAAGGTGATTTTTATAGTATGTGAATTGCATTTCAATTACATTATTATTTTAAAAAGCCCATTGTTTGCCGGGCACAGTGGTGCATGCCCGTAATCCCAGCGGCTTAGGAGGCTGAAGCAGGAGGATAGTGGGTTCAAAGCCAGCCTCAGCAAAAGCGAGGTGCTAAGTAACTCGGTGAGACCTTGTCTGTAAGTAAAATACAAAATAGGGCTGGGGATGTGGCTCAGTGGTTGAGTGCTCCTGAGTTCAATCCCTAGTACCAAAAGAAAATATAAAAGCCCCTTGTTTGATTACTTTGTGCTGATGACTAAACAAATAAAAATTCCAATCTTGTTCTAGGACTCACCTTGCGTGCTGCTTGTTGAAATCGTTTTTGTGCCCTGAACCTGGTAAACCAATTATTATTATCGAGTGGATCAAAACGAGGCTTATATTCTGGGATATCCTGTAAATATAAAGCATAGGCTCATTTTACATTTAAATTCTAACTCCTGACCCAAGCATTTAATAAAAATGTTTTAGAGTTTGATCCTAAGTTATCATTTATTTGTTCTTTCATTTAATGAGCATTTGTTAAGCACTTGCAGTAGACGTAACATTACAGAGAAGTTGTGGAATTGGGGGTCAAAAGAGGAAGACAAGGTTTGGATTGTAAGAATCTGGGAGTCTAGTTAGGGCAACCCAAGCAGACATGTGTGAGTGAGGAAAAAGAAGAAAGTTATACAGAAATCAGTCCTGTGGGCAGGGGCTGGCCCTGCATCCACATGAAGAGTAGACCATGAGGTCCCTGGATGGGAAGGAGGACGCTCTGCTCAGCCCTGTGTGCCCAGCGCCAACACCGTGCCTGCATGTCCTGGGCGCAGTGTGCACAGGCCAGGGAGTGAACAAAGAGGGCAGGGTGCCCGGAGTCACAGGGACACCAGAGCTGCAGGTTCTTGTGTGTGTGTGTGTGTGGGGGGTAGGGGATGGCAAGATGAAAGCAGTCTTTAGCAGTGGATCAGCATGACCCTGGCCTGTGCAGTGGGCTGCAGAGGAGCGCATGGGGGTGGGTGGGGGTGGGGACAGGTGTAGGACAACAGCCACCGGATCAGTCAAAGTGAGCCCTGGAGGTTGGACTTGGGTGGCCTTGTGGAAGAGCTCCTGGCAAGACTCTGGCTAGATTCAATGATGGGGAGAAAAAAAGAGGTCAAAGTTATCCAGATGTGGCGACCCCAGTGAAGACGGTGAGGACATAGAGAGATGGGTGGTCAGGGAGAGCTGGTTTCCCTGCTGAAGATGGAGTCTTAACTGGAAACTGTCACGTGACGGAGTCAGGTGGCAGGGCTGCTGTCCCCCTTTAACACCTGAGGGCACTAAGGCATCGTAGCTCAGGGGCTTGTCCTGGGTCCCCTATCTGTCCCAGAGAGAAACCACAACTCCAAGCTTCCACTTCTGGTCTTGCCATCTTCTCACCAAGGAGGGGGACACAGGGAACAGAGGTTAGGGACCCACCTGAGCACCTGCAGAGCCACCTGGAGAGCAAGGGGAAACAAGGAGAAAGGAAAAGTCAAGGTGCGGGGGGAGGAGGAGGCGAGGACACCGTCAGATTTGAGGGACACACGCATCGCAGGTCTCAATGCTTTACTTGCAAATGGATGGTTAAAAAGCACTCTAAAAATGGAAGCGTCTGAGAAACTATTAGCTCCCTCTTGGTAAAGGAATTTCCATAAAATTTCCGAAGGTTTTCAAAAAATAAGCATTTAAAGAAGTGCCAATAATGAGATTCCAAAGAAAGGAAAAATCACTCACCTCTTCTAGTTCTCGAATCAGCCGCTTATGGTTGACTTCTGTGTTGAGTCGCTGAAATTCCTCATTCAGAATAGGATCTCCTCTATCGCTCTGTTTTTTTTTTTAATCACAAGAAATAGCAAAATTGAAGACAATGCATAAAACTTTATTTCTCTTTAAAACTCATAGACACCCATTGGGCAACTGGTGGAACCCACTTGTGGAACCCACTTATGGAATTCTGTCTGGGTGTGGGGGAGATATCTGTAGGTTAAAATGTCCATTATAATCCCAGTTACTGTTTAGATACAGTGAGCTTTTATAGAAGTACAGACCTAAGACCTTAAAAAATATACATATATATCTATATACATATACGTGTGTATATATTTTTGTGTGTGCATATATATATACACATACATACACACATACATATATGTAAAATTAGGGGTAATGTCTCTGGAAATCATTTCTAAGGCACTTAAAATTCACAGGAAAGATTTTAACTATGAAACTATTGGAGAATGTATAGTATAGATTTCATTAAAAAGAAATGTCTCAGGTTTAAAGCTCCTCTGAATTGATTATCCAAGTGCCAGGTTTTAACAAAGGCACACAGTGATTCCCCACTTCTGGGTGGTGGAGGCTGGTGAGTATTTCTGGGCTGGTCGGGGACTAGTCCTTTCCCTGGAGTGGGGTCCCCAGGCTGCTCTCCTCCCCCACCTGCCTGCTTCCCCTATGGCCTCTGGACTCTCTTTCCTAATCCCAGGAGCCACAGGTGACTCCAGGGGTGGGCTGGCCAAGCTGGACAGGGTCTGTACACCCTGCCTCTGTGGAAAGGGCACTGTGCACACCGTGCGTCGTGTTCATTTTTGATTCTCGGTGGGTTCTATTATTTGTTGGTTGGGTAACCTGGCAAACCATATTGGCTCTTAGGTACACAGTTCATGGTTATTTTAAAGGCTTAATTGGAAGAAATTTATCCGTCACATTAACACTTTATTCAAAATTAAAATAGGAGTGCTATTGCCACCAGGGTGGGGAGCTGTCTCTGATTTGCACGTAACAGGAAGTTGAGTTTGAGACTGTGGACCTCAAGTTCAAAATCTAGAGTTTGTGGGGACAGACTCAGATGCCTCCCATCACTAAAAATAAAATAAAATAGTCAATTTTAAGGAGGGATCGGTGTAAAGGTTGTTATTTCTCAATCTTGTTGAGATTCTATTTATTTATTGTGAACATTTCAGAATGTAACGTTGTCTGTGGTCTCCCCGAGCATAAGCTCGTCATCCTTGAGGCTTTGTGCCATCAGCTTGATGTCGACTCCCTTCTGCCTGCCACCATCTCTTTTTCTCAGCCTTCTGCCCTAAGCTCAGACCTCCCAGCGTTCCTTGCTCTGGGGTCACCTGCCAGCACTCAGCTACCAGACGAAATCCCTTGAGCATACAACACAGGGTCCCTGCAACACTTGGTCTCCACACTTCATCCTCCTGCCTGTCCTGGTGACTGACTCTAAGGACCTGGCTGCTCCTCTCCTAGACACACGGGCAATTGCGGTTTAAGTGCTCATGTTGACCTGTTGTGGCATGTCTGTGTCACCTGCATCTTTAACAAAGGTAGAAAATAGCATTCCACGGTGGGGTTGACAGGAACTACTCGATATTGTGTTTTTTAAATAGCTTGCAAAGAATCTGAACCACACAAGCAACTGCATTTAAGTGGCAATCTCAATACATATCTTTCCTAAATGTGAAGATTTATCAATGTAGTAATTTTATTCTCTTTTGTTTTTCCTTGAAAAATAAACATCTGGTCTGGACTCCATATCTAGGAAGATGAACGAGATATCTGGCAAGACACGATTTCCCCTGGCTACTTAGAGGCCGGCTAGCTTCCCGGGAGCTCACACAGCTGAGCTCAGGTTCTGTGATGAAGTGAAGTGGGTCTTCCACAATCCATGCATCAACAGCCTGGTCTCCTGTACCCCAGCATGCGACTGTATCTGAACCGCAAAGAAGTGATCAGGTAAATGAGGTCATTAGAGTGGGTCCTAATCCAACATGACTTGTGTCCTTATAAGCAGAAGAGACTAGAACACAGACACACACTGAGGGATGTCCACGTGAGGACACAGCAAGAAGATGGGTGTCCATGAGCCGAGAGAGAGAACCAATCCAAAAGCTAATCCAAAATAAGGGGGGATTAAAAAAAAAGAAAAGAAGACAGATCAGAGGAGTAGACAAAGGGGAATGAAAGGAAGGGAGGAGGGATGGGATAGGGAGAGACCGTGGAGTGAATCTGACCTCACTTTCCTATGTACATCTATGAATATGCCACAGTGAATCTCACCATCACGTACATCCACAAGAAACTAATGAAAAATAAACTAAGTAAATAGCAGAAAGATCAGTAGAGTTGAGGAACAGGAGGTGGGAGAGGAAGGGGAAGGGGAAATATTGGGGATTGAATTAGAACAAATAATATTCCACACTTTCATAACCATGTCATAGTATGTTGTCCTGTATAACAAAAAAAGAACCAATTTAAGAAAAAAAAAAAAAAAAGAAGAAACCAACCCTCTCAACATCCTGATCTCTAGACCAGCCGTCTGTAGTTTAAGCCACTCAGCCTGTGGTACTTTGTTACAGCAGCCTGAGCAAACTCATACACTGTGTGATGATTCTGCAAGTCCCACTGGTTAAGTCCAAACCCCTCAAACATGGAGCACTAGCTGAGTTCTACCTACTCTTGCCCATGTATGTCCTGGGTTTCAACCACTATGGATTTGTCCCCAGTGTTCTCTGTTCCTGTCCTCCAAGTAATAACTATCTCCATGCCACAGTAAGGCCGTGGGTGTTGCATAGCCCACAGTTCTGTTTCTGCCTTGCTATCCCATTCCCCTTAATCCTGCCCCACCCTCTCTGCTCAGTCCTTCTGACAGTCTCTGACTTGGTACCGTCACTTGAGTCTGGCTCAGACGTGGCTCCCAAGCACCATCTCTGGGTCTCATCTTCATGTTCGTTAGATCACAGAGCAGGTTCATGTATACCCAGAAGTATAGACTGAATGTGAGCCATTCCCCCCATCTAACTGCCCGAGTCCTCTATCCTAATTGTACTGTGTCTTTCCAAAGAGATGTGTTCTCTCTTTTCTGGCTTCTGAATCCTCTAGGACCCTCAGTATAGGTCTCTTGTAGCATTTATAGCCACCCTTGGTTTATAGTTAACAATTTACTTGTCACCAGCCTCCTCCCCTCCCAACTCAATCCACATTTTCTTTCTCCTGATCTGGCATCTTGCATATAAAAGGAATTCAAAATATTTAGTGAGACAAATGATTTCAAATGAGCAGTAATTCTGACCTCGTATTTGGCGCTGGCTCTTTGTCGCTCCTCAGCAAGCTCTTTTCTAAGTTTAAAAGACATATGATCTTTACCATGGTGCACCTGCCTGTGGAGAAAAAAGCCAACTTCCAGAAGCCACCAGAAAATGCCATCAGCTTTAGGAGGGATGCCTGTCTGTGCTGTGTCCCACAACTCAGAGGGATGCTGAGGTGCTGTTGGAAGCACGCTGCAGGAGAGAGGCTGTAGCGGCTCGGCCACATCTCTAAGATGGACAGCATGGCCAGTGAAATGACACTTATCTTCTAGTGACACATGTTAAAATGTGTCTGGATGCGCAACAGCATTAGGCACTAGGGGAATGCAAATCAAGGTCACATAGTACCCCACTGCCTGCCCACTGCCTGCCCACTGCCATGACTAAGATAATAACAATGATTCAAAAAATAGCGGAAAACATTAAGCATTGCTGGGGCTGGGGACCAACTGGAGCCCTCGTAGGTTGCTGGTGAGAATGGAAAATGGTGTAGCTGCTCCGGAAAACAGTTTGGTGGCTCCTCAAGAAGAGTTCCCATGGACATGCAATTCCACTGCTAGGTATATAACCAAGAGAATTGAAAAGAGAGGTTCACACGAAAAACTCACATATACCTACATGCTCATAGCAGCGTTACTCATAATAGCCAAAAAAGTAGAAATCACTGAAATGTTCATTAACTGGTAAGTAGATAAACAAAATGTATATCCACACAGTTATGTGATTAATAGAATGTATATTCATTATAATGTATTTATTATAATGCAAAGGATATGCAATCATAAATAGGAATGAAGTACTAGTACAAGCTATGATATGGATAGACCTTAAAAATGTGTTCAGTTACAGGAGCCAGTCACAAAAGACCATGGATTATATGATTTCACTTATATGAAGCATCCAGAATAGGCAATTCCTAGACATGACTAGCCAAGCACAGTGGCACACACCTGTAATACCAGTGGCTCGGGAGGCTGAGGCAGGAGGATCACAAGTTCAAAGCCAGCCTCAGCAAAAAGTGAGGTGCTAAGCAACTCAGTGAGACCCTGTCTCTAAATAAAATACAAAATAGGGCTGGGGATGGTGGCTCAGTGGTCGAGTGCCCCTGAGTTCAATCCCTAGTACTCCCCCCATAAAAAGTACATGAGTGGTTGCCAGGGGCCCTGGGGAGTAGGGAATGAGCAGTGACTGCTAAGGGGTTTGAGGTTTCTTTTTTGGAGTGATAAGAAAGTTGTGGAATTAAGTAGTGAGGAAGGTTGCACAACATTGTGAATATATTGAAAATCTCTGCACTATACAATTTAATGAAGAATTTTATATTATGTAAATTTATCAGAATAAAAAAAATCTAGTATGTAATACGTCCAGCATGGAACCTAGAATATCTCCAAAATAAAAAGTAGCTATGATTTTAAAAGTGATATGTGTGTTCATGAGTGTGTGAGCGAGTGTGTGTGTCTGTGTCTGGAGAACAGTTTTAGATTAAAAGAAACTAAAGAGTCACAAAGATGAAATATAAATTGTATGATCTTTGATGCTACCCTGGATGCCCTCTCTCCAAAACGAAAATACCCCAAGTATAGAGGCCATTATTAGAACATCTGGGTAAATTTGCCTATAGATTACTTGACCCTGCTATTCCACGGGTGTTAAGTTTCTCGGACGTGACTATGGTGATGTCAGAGACTATCCTTATTCTTGGGAGTCACATGCTAATGTATTGGGGGTGAAGCTTTCCAGTGTCTGCAACTTACCTCCAAATGGCCCAGCAAAAAAAAGCCCCTGTAGTTGTGTGTGCATGTTAGCAGGCGTGCTGTGTGTACAGAGGGCAAATGTGGCACAATGCTAACAATTCATGAACCACGGTCAAGATTGTCATTGGTTATTTGCAGGTAAAAATCTTTCAACATGAAATGTTGGGAAAATAACATTAAGTGAACTGCACAGCATTTATTTATTTATTTTTAATATTTACTTTTTAGTTTTCGGCGGACACAACATCTTTGTTTGTATGTGGTGCTGAGGATGGAACCCGGGCCGCACGCATGCCAGGCGAGCGTGCTACCGCTTGAGCCACATCCCCAGCCCTGCACAGCATTTAGAGGTGATTTACAATGGGATTTCAAAAGCAGCAAGAAGCAAGAAAAAAACATGGCATTAATGGGGGGGTGGTGTCACTGCTGAGTGGTAGCATTAATGATTTTTTCCTTCTTTATAGTTTTTTTTTTTTTTTTTTGACTGGGGATTGAACTCAGGGGTATTTAATCACTGAGCCACATCCCCAGCCCTTTGTATTTTTTTTTTTTTTTAATTTAGAGACAGGGTCTCACTGAATTGCTTAGGACCTCACTAAGTTGCTGAGGCTGGCTTTGAGCTCAGAATCCTCCTGCCTCAGCCTCCCCAGTTGGTGGGATTACAGGTGTGTACCACTCTGTTTGGCTTCTTTATTTATCACAGTTTTAAAAAGACATTTTCCCAGATTTCCTACAGTGACAGTGTATTTACTCTTCATAATAGGGAAAACATTTTTAAAAACAAAATCTTCAGTTACTTGGAGAGGGAAAATCGGGCCTCAGCATGGTGCACAGCTTTGGAAGTCTTCTAGGTCAGTGCCGTTCTGTGTGGGAAGTGTGGAGGTAGGATGTGGATTAGGCAGCCTGTCAAGTACACTTTCCAGGAGACTCTTTTATGGCTCAATTCAAGAGTTTCTAAAGTTTTCTTTCGAACCAGGTGAGATGGCGCACACCTGTAGTTCAAGCTATTACTTGAAAAGGCTAAGGCTGAAGAATCCCTTTAGCCCCAGGAGTTCAGGGCCAGCCTGGGCAATATGGCAAAACCAGGTCTCCCCCGTCCCCACCAAAATTGAAAAACAACAAAACAAATTTACTTGAGCAGGATCTGGACATGTGCACATGGACATGCCAGGTATGATCTGGTTTTAAAAATTCATTTTGATCACAGAAGAACAAGAATACTCAGCCTGAGTCTCATAAGGGACCCCTCCCCGATCCCCAGAACTGCTGGACTGTTCAGGTCTCTGGGGTACACAGCACAGGGCACAGGGGCTCATGGTCAGGGAAGTGGAGATGGGGTGAGGTTTGGGGTGCCCAAGCCACCCCAGATTTGTCTCGGAGTGTGCATGTGGTGGTGTTGCTGGTAGCAGTGGCTGGCAGGGAGAAGGTCCTGGCCTCTCCCACAATTCAGTCTGGTTTTGTGCTGTGACCACGCTTAGGAACCATCATGGTTTGGTAGCATTAATTTCTCCTAATGGAAACTCATTCTGAAAGAGAAAGACCAGTGGAGGGGAAAGACTAATCAAATTCTCCAAAGGGCATAAAAATGATTTCATGATATCTCATGTATAAAAGGCCATCCCCTAAAAACAATCATGCTACTGCTTTGATATAAAAAAATAACTGCTTGATATTTACCACTTCAGGTGATTTTCCATCTCTTCTTTAGCGATCTGTCTGACTTTCTGTTCAAAGAGTGCCTCCTTCATCTGTCTTGTTTTTGAAATCCCAGTGCCTTGATCCAGAACTGAAGGCAGGAGCAGACAATGATTAGATCAGTAATCAAATCAGAATCATTTGCCGGGAGCAAAAACAATTTCTAATGATGAAGCATAACAGGGATCTGAGTTTTGTTGTTCATAAATAATAAATGTGACATGAAATAATTCTTTCCTATTTGGCCCGGGGGCTGATTTATGGTGGATCAACTGGTTACCTTCTCTTAATTCTTTAATCTTCATTTTTCCTGGTTCTTGATTTAAAACAGTTGCCACAGCAAATGGATTTGATAGATCTACTGGAAATTTCAGGTTCTGGTACTTAATTTCCTGAGAGACCGAATGGGCAGGAAAATTAGTCTCTGGCTTCTCTATCACTCTCCCTCCATCACATGGGGGAGGACGCCCCCTTTACCTTCAGTTTTGGAGGCCTTGTCTTTGCTGGTAGTCGATGGAAATTTATATGTGGCATTGTTTTTTCTGCAGGAATGCTGACTTTCTTAGAAAGAGTATTTAATCTTTTAAACTCTTCCAATCTATAGTTGAAAACAGATATTAAATTAGTATACAAGCCAATAACTCAATAATATTTTTATATTCCTTTTGATAATATCATGACTTGAAGTCCATCATTATATCTAAACTGAAAATAAATCTGTGTACCCAAACAGTGGTCTATTAAATTAAATTAAATGCAATGTCAGCATCTTAGCACATAATCATATATATCAGAATAGCCCATGAATGGTTTTTTTTTTTTTTTGCATTCTTAAGGAAGATAATGAGTGGAAAAACATGACATGCTGAAAAATGCTCTTATGGTCTAGTGTAATTCATTTCTAGGCTGTTGGTTTTCAACAGCTAAATTGATTACATTTTAAAAATCATACTTTGAGGGGCTGGGGTTGTGGCTCAGCTTTAGAGTGCTTGCCTAGCACATGCAGGGTACTGGGTTCGTCCTTAGCATCACATAAAAATAAAATAAAGGTATAAGGAAAATTGTACTTTGATTTGTCTTCTTGGTAAAAGGAAGATTATTCCCATTATTGGTAGCAAGACTGTCAAAAAAAGAGATTCAGACTCATGTTTGGGATCTTTCCTGTAACTAAAAACGGCCTTTTGACATACAGGTAGAGCCAATGCAGACAGTAACCTGCAGAATCTATTTGGATGATTTATTGTGTGATATTATAGTCAGAAATGCTATTTCTTTAAGTAAAATGTGTGTACCCTTGTTTTCCAGGATGAACACTTAGTTTCCAATGACATTTCAGGAATTAGGTGAGAATACATTAACATGCTCATAGTCAATGTGCACCTACTGAATAGGTCTGGTGGCATTATATGAAATGGTGCTAGCCATCTCAAATTCAACAGCCCCCTAGGCAAGAGTATCCTTAAGGACCACAGCATGGGAGCACCTGTCCGTTGGTGAGATACACGTTGACTGACACACTCCCATGTGCAAGGATCAGGGCTTAGCTGGAGAGTGAGCCATGGCTCAGTATCCTCATCTCCACATAGCTTTAACATCATCCATGCTGTAAATACTGGGAACCTTTTGGGGGTGTCAAGAAAATCATTTCCTAAAGAACCCTAATTGCTAGCGTTGGTGATGGAAATGAAAGAGTCTAAGAACATGATGTACCACAGTTATAAACTGAATTTGACAGTGCCAAACTGAGGACATGGGTGACTCAATCATCACATCCCATACTGAAACAAAGGAAGCAATCTAGAAAGATTTTAGAGAACACTACTGTCATAACTTTTTTCTCGTTGTGGTGGAATTTATGTTACAGTACTATTTGCAGTTTGGAAAGACATACAGGGCTTGAGTCACACTCCTTGAAAACATAAGCAGTGCACTAAAAAAGACAGTAAACCCTGGCTGGGCAAGCAAAGCAGAATTATTCAGAAATAGTGTATATGCCTACATTTGGATAGTGCCTCGTCAGACAATGCTCTCCTGTATTTAAGAGCATACCTGGGCTGGGGGTGCAGTGAGTTCTTGGCATATCAAAAACTCAAATAGCAAACAACAGAAACCGAAGAAGCATTCCTCACAAGTCCCCTTTTCTCTCTCTCTCTCTCTCTCTCTCTCTCTCTCTCTCTCTCTCTCTCTCTCTCTCTCTTTTAATTATTTCTTACATACATCACAATAGAGGAGTGCATTACGTTAATATTTTTTTTTGCATTACAATTTCTCAGTCATTTCTTTTCCTCTCAGCAGAAGCAACTCTGCTACCAGTAGAGATATTCTATGCATCAACATTATGTTTTAAGGTGTATTTTATGTAGGCCCATCATTTAAAATAAGTTTTTGTTCATTCATTTATTTTTGTGGTGCTGGGGCTTGAACTCAGGGCTCTGTGCCTGCGAGGCAAGCGCTCTACCCCTAAACTACACCCCAGCCCCTAACATAAGTTTTTGATGGTGTCCTGATACAATGAAAAAAAAAAGACAGAATAAAAGGAAGAAGGACTTGGAATTTTGGAAAAGTGTTAAGAATAAACAAAAACATTCCAAAGCAGCCCTACGGTAAGGCCATGTTGGGATAGCACGTTCCGGTGAAGACACATTCGTAAGGCTGGGAGTTGAACTGCGAAATCCACAACTGCATCTTTATCTGTGCAGTCCCGTACTCAGAGGGTGTGAAGGTAATAGTCACATCCATCTTGCCATTAGCTGGAATTATTCCTGAGAGCAAAGGAAGGAGAAGATGTGTTGATAATCAAGCGCAAAGAGGTGGACGCATGCACGAACACATTCTTCCCGGGATAAGCACGAGTATTTCTATAATCTTTGTATAATCTTTTCATTAAACACCCATGAATCCAACTTCTGTGTGTTTACATGGATCTTATTTACCAATTGCTACATTAATCCTTTATAATTATTATTTGATTCTGTCAGTTATGTAAATATATACATATCAATCTGCATTAGTTATTCAAACACGAATTCCCAGAAATCTAATCTTCAGGGAAATTTACCAGAAGTCAAAGTTAATGTTGCAAGTAACAAGGAAAAGCTAAGAACACACATAAAAGTTTGTGTTCAGACAACGCAGCTCCTTAGGTTTGTGTGTAATTTGATTCTCTCCTTTCAGATCTTTTTTTTTTTATTTTTTGGTGATGTTGGGGATCAAAACTAGGACCTTGCAAATGCTAGGCAAGCACTCTACCGCTGAGCCATGCCCCCAGCCCTCTCCCTTCAGATCTTGAGAATGGACTGCTATTCCTTCCAAAATCAATGCCTATTCTTCCTTCCTATCTCTGGTACCAAGGGGGCTTGAAACAGCAAATTTCAACAATGTGGGAAGGAAAACAGAAGGGAAGACCCAAGGACTCGTGCAGTGAGGGCTAATGCTCTCTGACCTCCACTGAGGGCTCCTTGGTTTGCTTCCTAGATGAGACCTTCTGGTCTTTCCATTATCCCTGCAGAGGCTCGCCAGGCTTTCGACCTCCTCTGCCCTCACCCTCCTCTGGATCTTGTACCACTCTCTCCCTTCTCTCTGTGGGCCATTCATGCAGCCATTCAGGCTGCATGAGTGAGAATACACACTGTGTGCCTGCTATTGTCTCAGGGACTCGAATGCAGCAATAAACAAAACGAAGTCCCAAGTCTTGTGGCGTTTACCTTCTAGTTGGGGACAGTAAACAAAAAGAAATGGATGTAAAGTACAAAGTCAAGTCACAAATATCATCACCAACAACAAAAATCGATAAAGTGGGGTGTGGGACAGAAAGGCCCTGGTGAGGAGATGTGGAGCAGAGCCGAGGGGACGGGACCTTGGCTCCAATCCCCCAACTGTGGCTTCTGCTGCCGTGGGGTCTCTGTACCAGCTTTCTACTGAGTGTTGAGCTGTTTCTCCTACTTCCCAGAATCATCTCGTTGCTAGTCTGTCTTCCCCCAGACTAGCATGTCAATTTTAGGAAAGCAGGCACCTGCGAGGTACTCAAGAAATTCTTGCTGAATGAGTGAATGAAGCAAACTCGAAAGCCTCCCTCCACCTACACGTCCCAGGAAGCCCCTCCTGCCTCTCCAGCCACCAAGCTTCACTACCCTAAGCCTCCGTCTGCACCCCATGGAACTCCTGTACTGCTGGACCTGTTACCTTGCAGACTTTTTACTCCCAGCATAAATGCATGAGCCCCAAAGGTGGACACCAGCCTCCATTCCCTTTTGTCTTCCTTAGTCCCTTGCAAGAAATCAAAAATAGGTAAAAGGGCTTCAGAAACAGGGATTGGTCAATTCCTCAAGCACTGATGGCAAATTTGTTAAACAACACCCACTAATGACCCTTGAGCCCTGGACAGAGCAGAATGATCCCGTAGACTAACTGGGGTCTGTCAGCCAGTTGAAGACTAGCAGAGCAGAATCCCTGGTTCTTCATGATGTGTGGAACTTCAGCACCTTGACCAGCCATTCGGTCAGAGACTACAGGTGACTCACAATTCACGGAGGCTTTAAACCAAGAACATTCTGTTAAATGTTGCTTCTGCTCTAGCTCATTGATTAACCAAAAAAAAAAAAAAAAAAAAAAGAAGAAGCTCTGGATCAGGAATTAATGTTTGCCTTGCCCAGGCTGATTTATTTTTAAGTGCTCCCAGCCTGGACCTAAAACACAAAGCACACTACGGAGATGTAGTCTAGGCAACCAAAGTCAACCACTTTTTCCATTAGCAGGAACACCAGCTCTGTTACCAGAACACGGTGGCAGCTGACTGTCAAATGTTAAAAGCTGTAAAAGGTGTGCCAAGTAATCACAGCTTCCTGCTCGGCAAAAACTAATGGTGGGATAAAGGAGAAAAATATCATGTTTTGAGAGTGAGAAAAATGACCCCAAAATGTGACTTCATTTTAAAATGCCAAACCACTAGTTTATCCATCCAGTCCAATCTCACCTGGGGTTGATTAAAGATTGCTACCCTCAACATAACCAAGGATAATGTTGGGAGGACAGTGGTCAGAGACAGGGAGGTGAGGACAAAACCCGGAAATAAACTAAAGTCCAAGAAAACCCTAACTGATTGATACCATGAATATCAGGATGAAAATGTACTAACCCTGAAAAATGCCACAGTGATAAATGAATTCACCACCAGGCAATACCACTGTGTCTTTACCTAGATTACAATTATATAGAACACATGCATAAATATGGGCAGTTATTAAAAGGAGACAGAAAAACAAAAACACATCATTTTTTTTAGGACAGTAAGGCCAAATAAGGGGATAATTTGTAAAAATCTCTTCTTTCTTATATGTCTTTACCATGTTATAATTTTAAGGTTTCATTTTATTTTTAATTGACACATAATAATCATACAAATGGAATGTTTTGATACATGCAGGTAATCAGAGGATCCCTCACCTCAAACAATTATCATTTCAAAATCCTCTCTTGTAGCTATTTTGAAGTACACAATACATTATGGTTGACCATAGTTCCCCTAAGGTGCAACAGGACACCAGAATGTATCCCCTTACCTGTGACTCTGCTCCGGTTGACCATCCTCCTTTCTCCTCCAGTCTCTATTAACCACTGTTCTACACTCTACTTCTATGAGGTCAACTTTTTGAGATTTCACACATAAGTGACATCATCAATATTGTAAAAATTTTAAAAATTTTAAGAAGTTTTCTCTCGGAACATCTGAGTACAGATTATTCTTCCTGAATTGTCACAGGGTCTTCCAACCCACACACTAGAAGTGTTAGGAAGGGTTATTAAGAATTGGTTTTAACGTTGTAGGATTTACAGTCCCATTAACTATGAGATTTGGCATAAACTACTTCATCTCTCTAAGCCTCATTTGGGAAATGAATAGCTACGTCATTTAAAAATCATCCATGAACAGGTGTTGACAGCAATGCCTTTGATTCACTGGATTACAGAGGGAGGTCTTTGGGAGTGGGAAGCTACTTTCTGGCTCTCGGTTCTGTGAACCATAGACCACCTTTACTGCCTGAGGTATGGGGGCAAGAAGATAGTCCCAGAGGCCACTTAGAACCTGCTTCACCCCCTTGTTTAGCTCTGTGATTGGCTTGGACACCTTATCTGAGGCTGTTTTCTCATCTGTTAAAATACAGTGTGTGAGATAATGCTTGGTATGTAGTGTACATTCTGTAAACATCTCCTTCACAGCGTTTATACGATGTAAAACGAGTAATAATTTATTGTAGGTTAAATTATCATTAAAAAGGCCAGGTGTGATAGTATACACCTGTAATCCCAGCAATTTGGGAGGCCAAGGCAGGAGGATCTCAAGTTCAAGGTTAACTTCAGTAACTTAGTGAGAACCTATCTCAAAATAAAAAGTAAAAAGGATTGGGGATGTATATTAGTTTTGTAAAGTGCCCCTGAATTTAATCTCCAGGACTGAAAATTTAAAAAAATCATTAAAACATCAGAAAGAGGAAATATTTCTTTGCAAATTTTATACTTAAGCTAGGCAATTGCTTCCCGAGGTCAAGCCACCAGGTGAGTTTCTCAAAGCTCAGATCTTTCCTTTTTATCACAAAAGTACAAGGCCAGCCGGTGTGCCACAGAGCATGCCTATAATCGGAGGCTGAGGCAGGAGGATCATGAGTTCAAAGCAAGCCTCAGCAACTCAGTGAGGCCCTGTCTCTAAATAAAATATATTAAAAAAAAGGCCGGGGATGTGGCTCAACTTAACCCTCTGGGTTCAATTCCCTGTACCAAACAAACAAACAAAAACAAAATAAAAAAAGTGCAAGGCCAGGGCTGACTCTAGAATGCCCCATTTTAAAAGTTAAGCTTAGCTGGGGCTGGGGCTGGGGTTCAGTGGTACAGCACTTCCTAACATGCGTGAGGTACTGGGTTCGATTCTCAGCACCACATATTATGAATAAAATAAAGGTCCATCAATGTAAAAAAAAAAAGTTAGTCCTAGAGATTAACTGTGAGGAGGTAAAAGATAAGCCCTGCAGCTTTGGGGTACACATTCATGTCTGAATTTCCCTGGAAGAATCAACTCCTGCTCAGGTTCAGGGGATGAAGTGTCACAGGCTACAGACACTTGGGCAGCTAATAATCCCCAGTACTGCTTTTAAACTTTAATTTCCTTCTTCCTCTGGCAAGCTTTTTTATTGGAACTAGAAATGGGTGGTAACTAAAGATTTTTGGAACCTACAAGTTTCCTCTTCATCCCTATGCATCAAATATCCCAAATACAGACATTAGGAGCAAGCCCGGGGCAGTCAGGGGCTCTGCCTGTGGGAAGAGTGGGAAGCTGAGAAGGAGGGGTCTGGGTAGACGATGCTGGGGAAATTCAGCCAAGCCAACAATCATTTTCTGTCAAGCACATAACCTCTGGCTGCTAACAACACACACAGCACACAGGAGATTCGCAGGGGCCCTGAAGGCAAGAGGAAGATACAGGCTTGATTGAGATCGATTGTTAATTTATTCAACATTTCTTTTGCAAAATAGAATTTCCCTAAACTCTTCATGACATGATTCTATTTGTCTTCCTCTTCCAATTCAAGGCATCTTGGTGTCATGACTCTTCCAACTTAGTGTAATTGTCAAGAGTTCGAGTCTGGAATCAGACAGACCCTGTCACCCTGGGCAAGTCATCTGGCCTCCCTGAGTCTCACTGTCCTTAGCTGTAGGGAGGTGATGACTGTCCTCAGTTGTAAGAAGGACTGTAGGATGAAGCCACACAATGAATGTGATGTGCTTGCCCAGTGCCTGACATGTGGCTGACAATTAGTACATCAGAGCAATTATGAAACTAAGCAAGTCACGCTGTGTGTCACCATGGCCACCAGCAAGGATATTTTGAGGGCTGAGTGACAGAGCTTTGCTACCAATGTGACAGAGCTTCTTAGGATCTGTGCACAGAGTGGTTACCTGCTGGTCCAGCTTTTCCTTCTTTCTTAAGGATGTGGTTAAAAATTAATTACCTACGCTCTTCAGAAGTTAGGGAGCTCATTTGCATCTAACATATTAGCTATCCCTAATTGTTCTCACTTTCTCACTATTAAGTATGGTACTTCAGAAAATCAGGTCCTGTTTTTTGCAATGTAAGTATATTTAAAAATTTCAAAATGATTCCTAGTTCTATAGAAAATAATCAACATTGTGTGAGGTTTGGGTTTAACGCCCAGTACAGGGGGAAAAATGTGAAATAAAAAGAATCTATATGCATGTCATGATTTAGAATTAATACAAAATTTCTGCCTTAAACACTTACATATTAGACAAAATAAGCACTTGTAATGATGAAAGAGGTATGAACAGTGAATATATAGACTTAAAAAAATGAACTATTTTGGCACTTATAGAACACCACTGTGAACAAATACTTAAATCCCAAACCTAAATATCAAAAGAGACAGAAACTGGGAAGCAGAAATCATTTCTGGTAAAATCTTACTTTCAAATGTAAGAGATGCCACTTTCAAAGGGTAGGGATTTATGTCCTTTGGGGAACATAAAGACAGATAGTTCATATCACACATGAGACAAATGCATTAGACCCTTTATTAAGATTCTGAAATCTTGGGAAGGAATAATATTGCCACTTATTTATTTATTTAGGTAACAGGGATTGAACCCAGGGTTGCTTAACCACTAAGCTACAATCCCAGTCCTTTAAACAAATTTTTTTTTTTAAATTTTGAGACAGGGTCTCATTAAATTTGAACTTGCAATCCTACTGCCTATTCTCCCCAGTTGTTGGGATTACAGACATGCACCACCACACCCCACAATATTGTCAATTTATTTAAAAATGAATTTAAAGGTGAATAAAAACCCAGTGAAGAACCAAGAGCTAAAAGTAGAATTAGACTCGATTAATTTCTGATTTCAAGTTTTGAACTTAGAAGAAACTCACTTGGACATTATTACAAATTATCTGAATGATACAAATTATCCCAAAGTGTCCTTATTCTCAAGTGTCCAAATTAAATTTACTTTATGTTAGATGTATAAAATTTGTTACACGTTAAAAAATATGATTAAATATTCAAATGTGGTATATTCTGTTTTTCTTGGAGTCCTACTTTCCCAGTCCTGACTTGGATCTGAAAATTCTAAGGAAATTAGAAGCTTGAAATCCTGACTGTCCTTACCTGATGTTGGCTCAATAGAAAAGGCTCGATGAGACTGAGTCAAAGTGATGTGGAACTCGAAATCTACAGGGCAGCTGCACTGTAAAGGGATAACATAGGTTTTGCTGCAAAAAAAAAAAAGAGGCGGGTGTGGGGGAAAGAAAGAATATTGAACATTATTTTCTAGCTCTTTTGGTAGCCAGGAATAGAGACTGAAGTTGCATGATAAACACCAACAATGGCAACAGCCAACACTGATCTAGCACGTCTGTGCGCCAGGAGCGGTCCTGGGCATCACCCACATGGACTGCCATGAGATTATCCCCTCTTCCAAGAGGAAACTGAGGCACAAGACAGACCAAGAGTTCCAGACAAAGCAGCATGGCTGTTAGTGGCATGTGAGGCAGGTCCTCATCCTTGGCATTCAGACTCCCAAGACCACTGTCTTTGCTGCCTGGGGTGCTGTTGGGTTTTCCCTAGAGACTCGGTGGTGGGGAAGAGGAAGTTTCTACCAAGTAACTAGGTTCAGGGAACTTCGGGAACAGACAGGACTAACAGAAAGCCAGGGAGGCCCTGGGCCTTTGCAGGGCTGAACCCTATAGTGCTGAAGAAGCCATGCTTTGGGCTGCGCTTGAATGAACCCTGAACAGGCTCTATTTGGTCATCAGTCCAGCAGCCTTGAGAGGGCCCGGAGAGGGTGTGTGCGCCCAGGAGTGCTCTGTCACCCCAAGACACGAGATTCCCAAGCAAGCTTGGGCCTGTCACTTACAGCACCACAGGAGCTGTGGCAGAGGTGGCCTTTCTTAGAGATCCCTGTGTTTCACATTCTGTGCCCCTTCCACAGGGCAAGCCCAAGTCGGCTGGAGTTTGCAGGATGTGTGAGGGGAAACCGAGCTCTCCCATGGCCACTTGGTGTCCACGCAGCCCTTGGGGCAGATTATCTGGTCCCCTTTTAGCAGCAGGCAGTGAAGTCCTTTCTTTCTAATCCCCGTTTTTCTTTCACCTATTCCCTTTTCCTCCAGCCACCACTGGGCTTCTGTATCCTCAACTCTGTTCATCTCTCTCTGCCCCATACCTACTGGGCCTCAGGGCTCTTCATGACATTCCTGCCTCACGGCTGGTCCCTACCTTGTCACCTGTCAGATGGTGGCCTCCTGCCCCCTGGCCATCCCCTCACTTCTCCCCTTTGTGCTCCTGGGAGACCACTGTTGCAATACAGTCCAAGCAATGTTGGTGGGCCAGCTGGCACCTGCCTTCTTGGTAGGTAACCGCCCGACCTTATCTGCCCATGGGCTTCACGATTACAGCTTGCTTCCTCACCTGCCCGGACCTGTCTTCCCTGGAGACTGCGTCCTGTGAAGGCAGAGTCTGACTCCACTCGGGTCTCTACAGTAACCTGAGCACTTTCCCAGAATCCCACACAGCACCCAGCAAATATTTGTTGGAGCAAAGTGAAATCACCCCTTTCTGAAATTTGGGGATTGCAAATGTGGTTTTAAAAACTATGCCCAAAGCATTTTTCTTTGGCTTTGAAATTCATTGCCTTTTAAAAATCTGTGAAATATTTCAAATGTAAAAGGAAGTATTGGGCTGGGGATGTTGATCAGTGACTGAGTGCTTGCCTGGTATGGTGAGGCCCTGGGTTCCATCCTCAAAGCCATAAAATAGAACAAATAAATAAATAACACCAATAAAATAGAGAGTATTTTATTCATTACTGAACTTTATTGAATCTTTCTCTTGGGGTACATTAATATCATATTTCAAAGACGAGGATGGGGACCCGCAGAGCTGCGTGCAGGTGGCATCCCCAAGGCTCTGTCAGGAGCAGTTGATGTTCAGAAATTTTCTGCTAAAAGCTACATGGTTGCATTTCTCTGAACTAAAACAAATCAAAAAACCCTTTTGGGACTTTTCCCACTGGTCACAAATACTGTTTTCAATTAACTTCACAACTCTGATAATTCCTATAGAAAAAAGTGTCAAGGTTTTTGGTTTCATGATGATTACATGAAGCCAAGTTTCTGATGCATTAACCAGTCTGGAAAAATAAACAACTCCTTAAGGGCACAGAATTCCCAGTGCCATGGTTCAGAAGGAGACCTAGTGGGGCAAAGCATCCTAATTCCAAATTTCAATGGGATCGCTGGGTGTTGCTCTCATCGCTGATGTTCCTATCACGGATGTCAGATTAGTGAGGATGGCCCCTCACCATAAATAAAGGGCAGTCTAGATGAATTTAGATCAACAGGAGGTTTAGGTAACACAGAATTTAGTTTATTTCGAAGTTTCTCATATATGAAGAAACAGAATCTCACTAGGAACTGGGTGGAAATAAAAAATACTAAAGTGAATTCTCCTCATCACATACTATTAAAAATGATCTTCAATAAACACTAATATACATAGCGTTCCTCAGAAGCAAATAGGAACTTACATTAGAGTTCTTCTGTAACTTATAGGAATTAAAATGTGAAAGCAAGTGCAAGTCAGTGCTTTCGGACGTAACCACAACTTTTATCCCTGTTACTTCTTTACTTAAATATTTTATCAATTATATTAGGGCTGGGTATAAAGCTCATTGACTACTTTTAAAGAATTATCCCTTATCTTTGAAAAAAATCCAGCTCAAACCTTTTAAATACTAAACTTTTAAATTATGATCATGTGCAAAGTGTATGCCTACAAGAAGACAGCGCAAATGTGCCTTACACAAAGTAAATGCAATAAAATCAATTCCAATTTCTTTCTTGTCCTTCTGACTTTCTGAGAGAATGAACGCTCTGTGAACTTCAATAAGTTCAACATAAAGTCATAACATAACAAATAACATAAAGTCAACTATACTTCCCATTTCGAAACTCTCGCTTTCTGGAGAGTGCCGTGAACAGGCCACCTTACCATCCTAGCATTTGGCTCCTTTTCTGGAGAAGGAAGGGTTAGGGACAAAAAGCACCATAAATGCTAGCCATTTCCAAGATGGCTGGACTCAGGAGCTGAAATACGTTCACCATTAGTTACTATGTGTAGGTTTTGAAGGAAAGGCCATCAAGGTAAAGGGAATCCTTGACACAGGGATACAGATAAAAGGTGAGAAATAACACAGACCATAGCAAAGCACCTGATGAGACCCTTGCCAAGGGAAGCCTGTAGCTAAGATGCCCAGTGATGTCATTTTGGGGTTAAGTCAACTTAGTAGGACTTTTCCTTTTTCAACTGCTCATTGATGAGGAAATCATTCACAGAGCAAAGGAAGTGGACCGAGGTGATGTGTCTGTGTATCATCTTTTTCCTTCCGAATATACCAAAGGCTACTGAAACAACCCAGAGTCTGGGCAAGTTGTGGGGTTCCACACTGTGACAGTTTTCAACAAGTTTACAAACTTTGACATTCTCTCACTGAGAGGTAGAGTCCAAGCCTCCTTCCTTTGACTCTGGGCTCCATTGCTACTTAACCAAGAGAGCACCCTGGAAATGACGCGGTGCCCTTCTTTCCTTCCCTCCCTCCTTCCCCTCCCTCCCTTCCTCCTGTCCTTCCTTCATCCTTCCTTCTTTCCGTTCACAGTGCTGGGATTTAACCCTGGGGTTCTCTGCCACCAAGTTACACTCAGCCCTTTTAAATTTAAGACAGAGTCTCGCTAAGTTGCTGAGACTGGCCTTAAGCTCATGATCCTTCTGGCTCAGCCTCCACAAGTCACCGGGATTACAGGTGTGAGTCACTGAACCTAGCTGTACCTGTTTCTTAAGGTCAAGGCCTAAGAAACTGGTACCCTCCTCTTCTCTTGGGATTCCCACTCTGATCCCCAAGGAAGGCAGCTCAAGTGGCCTCTGAGAGACCTACAAGGTGAGAACCAAGGCTCCTGGCCCTCAGGTCACCATCTGAGCTCCCAGATAACAGCCAGCAGCTGTGTGGACATCTTGGCAGTGTATCTTTCAGCCTCCAGAAGAGCTGCTGACTTTTCGGGTAGCAGAGGGAGCCTTCCCTGTTAAACCAGGCCCAAGTTGAAGATCCATACCAAAATCAATGATTGATGTTCTTTTAAGCACTACTTTTGGGGTGGTTTATTACATAGAAAAAATGGAAGCCAACGACATTCTCTCTTTCCCACATCATTTATCCTTCAGAGAATGACTATTTTATTCCATTCTGGTTACTGTCTTAATCTGGATTTTGAAGTCTTTTTTTTCCCCTTGTACCAGCCCTTGGGGTACACCAGCCATTGTACCTACATCTCTGTACCTCTTAACCATCTGTGGAAAGCCACACTGTTATCCCCATCTTATGGATACATGCACTGAACTCTGGGGAAGTCCAAGGTCACACATTAAGTAAATGGTGAAGTGGAACTTACTCCAGATGCTGAGCTCTTAACTGCTGTACTGCATGACCCCTCTAATGTTAAGGGACAGCTAATGACATCACGTTGTTTGGAACCATTCCCTTCTCTATTGATGTTCCCTGAAATTGATTCCTCTGTGTTGTTTTTGTTACTAAGCTTTGCAGAAGTCATCTCCTTTCATGAGCAATTGTTAAGAAAGGCCTCTTCTAATAGACTAGACTATACACAGGCGAACGCGCCGACTTCCATGACTGAGCTGGGGCTTTTGTGAGGTAATTCGATAAGGTCATGAGAGAGAATTGCCCCCAATGGGATTAGAGTCCTTTTAAGAGGAAGAAGGGGCTAGAGCTTTCCACCACCACCACCCTACCCTGCCCTTCGAGGAAAATTGGACAAGGGTCCTCACCAGAACCTGCCCATGTTGGTACGACCATCTTAGACTCCTGGAACTGTGAGAAATGTCTGGTGTTTAAGCTGCCCAGTCTCTGGTAATTTCTAATAGCAGCTTCAGCAATGACAAATTCCAAGAATTTTTCCTAAATGTTACCAATCTCCTCTCAAATTGGCATGCATACAGGGAGAAAGAAGGAACTCTGGGAACTGGCCAGTTATTTTCACTTACGCTTAAGATACAAATTGCTGAGCTCTTAACTGCTGAGAATATATCCAACAAAACAGATGAATATGAGACACATTGTTAGTTGTCTGAGAAGTCAAACTCCCAACCTCCAAACAGGCAACGATTTAAAAAGATACAAAGAACTGAGGGCAAGTTACATTTCAAA